CAGGGAACTTCCATCTTCTGGTTCACTCCCCAAAAACATAAAACAGTTGGTGGTGAGCCATGCTGAAGTCGGAGCCTGGTATTCAGTCAGGTCTCCCACATGGGTGGCAGGGACTCAACTACTCGGGTCATCACGTGCATCCTGCCAGGGTACACATCAGCAGGAAACTGGGATCAGAAACAGCAGGGATTTAAGCCCAGGCACTGCTGAATGGGATATGGGTGCCCCAAGCGCATATTAACCATGCTGCCAGATACCTGTCTCTCTTTCAGATTGTCTTGATTCATTCACCATTAGTGATTTTACAGACTTGATGGTGAAAACTGTGATTAGCACATTAGATTTCCAGTTCATCTGGAGTTCTGGGTGAACACAGGGCAGTCTATGCCCTGGCTTCAGGGCTGTCATCATGTTAGTAGTGGTTCGTCTCCTGTGAGCCTGAAATTCACATGAATTAGTCCATGGCACCTAGTGTGATGAGGAACAGGAAGTTAGGGATGGCAGATCCTGGGTAGGTGACATTGAGAAGTGGTTTTTTGCATAGAAGAGAAAACTTGTAATTGGCCAACTTCTCTTTCTCAGCCTTCTTAACATAACGTACCTCTTTCATAATCTCTTTTCCTTGGCACAGGCACATGAGTCTAATGAGAGAAAGAGAGATCCTCTGTCACTGGCTCACTCCTCAAATGGCTGCAACTACTGAGGCTGGGCCAGGCTGAAGCCAGGAGCCAGTAGCTTCTTGTGGGTCTCCCATGTGGGTGGCAGGGGCCCAAGGACTTGGGACATCTGCTGCTGCTTTCTCAGGTGCATTTTAGGGAGCTGGATCTGAATTAGAGCAGTCAGGACTCAAATCGGCACCCATATGAGATGACAGTGTCATAGGCCGTGGCTTTACCTGCTACACCACAGCACCAGCCCCCAAGTTATCTTAGAGAGTTCTCATTGAGCTGTCATAACTGTCTGTCAATTTGTCATCAGGGTGCCATTCTTCATGCCTTAAATATATATGGACCAAATGTCTGTCCCATTCCCTCTTTCCTTTTCCTCTGACAGCTCTCTGAGAGAACTTCTGACTACCTTATAATACGTCGGCTCCCGTTTATTGCATGGCTGGTGGCAAAGCAGAAGAGATTCCCTTCCCCTTTCTCGGACTGGATTCCCCTGGTCTCCTGGGCCTATTCACCACTAAAATGTTGCTTCTCTTGGTCCCCTGTCCCCCAGCTCCTTTGCATTTCTTATATAGCTGGTGACTGGAACTCACTTCTTGTTTTATTCTTACCTTACTGTTACTGCCCCTCTGGGCAAAAGATTGAGGTAAACCAGGAAATTTTTATTCAAGTGTACCTTTTTATCTTGCTATCTTTTTTTTTAAAGGTTTATTTATTTGAAAGGCAGAGTTTACGGGGGATGGGGAGGGGGGTATTTTCCATCTGTTGCTTTACTCCATAAATGGTCACAGTTTTTAGGACTGGGCCAGGCTGAAGCCAGGAACCTAGAACTCCATCTGGGTTTCCCATGTGGGTACAGGGTCCCAAGCATTTGGGCCATCTTCTGTTGCTTACCAAGGCCATTAGCAGGGAGCCTGATTGGAATTGGAGCATTTGGGACCCAAACTGGTGTCAGTATCGGATTCCAGTGTTGCTGCCTGTGATACTGGCTTAACCCCCTATGCCGCAATGCCAGCCCATTACTGTCTGTCCTAATGGGTTGTTTACCTCTTAGCATTTACAGAACATGCATACTTCTCTCTCACATGACCAGCAAGTGCACAGCAGAACAAGGGTTTTAAGGATGGAGAATTAACAAATTGATGGGGTTCTGAAAATACTCAGGACTTTTTCTTCATTTTACTGAAATAAATCACTTCAGGGTTTTGCATTCATAGTTAACAACTTCAGGCAGAATGTTAGACACAGTTCTTGGTAAAGTCCTTATATACTTTAATTAACTATGATTAATTTTAGATATATTGAGAGGTGTATTCAAATGGTGTTTCAAGGCAGATATTTTAAAAATTAGCTATATAATTCCCACTATAAAAGTAATAAATACATGCTATAAAGATGTTTAATATATATACACATATATATATATAAATACAACCATTAGCCGTTCAGCCTATTGACTTTAAAAAAAATACTTAATTTTATTTGAAAGAGAAACACAAAGAGAGAGAGCACTTCCATCTGCTGGTTCACTCAGATGGCCACCACAGCCCAGGGCTGGGCTAAGTCAAAGCCAGGAACCAGGAACTCCATCTGGATTTCTCATAGGATATCAGGGACTCAGTATTTGAGCCATCTGCTGCCTCCCAGACACATTAGCAGGAAATGGTATCAGAAGTAGAGCTGTGACTTGATCCCTGCACTATGCTAATGGAATGAATGTCCCAAGTGATGACTTAAAGCACTGGGCCAAAAGCCCACTTGTTAAATATGTGCTATTCAGTCCTATATATATGAATGTATGTATAATACCTTAGAAAATAAGCCCATGTTAATTAACTTTGAAGGAAAATAAGAATAATATATAAATTACTGAGTTCAATCCACCAGATGGTTATTTGAGTTGAAAAGTGATGTAAATTATGTGATGGCTTGTGTCCAAACTCACCAGAAAGTTGCCTGGGTTCTGTGTTGTAAAATTTCTTTTAGATGCTTTTTTCCTTGCTGAAAATGAAAATGTTACTATTTTCTATAGTGAAAACACTGTGGGGAAAAAACTCAGAAACTAGGGTGGGCGTTTGGCATAGCAGTTAAGATGCCACTTGGAATGCCTGTATCCCATGTTAGTGTGCCTGAGTTCAAGTCCTGGCTTTGTTCCTATTTCCAGCTTTTGGCTAATTTGTACCCTAGGAGGCAGCAGGTGATGGCTCAAGTAGTTGGGTCCCTGCCACCATGTGGGAGGTTCAGTTGAGTCCCTTGCTTCTGTCTTTGGCCTGGCTCAGCCCTGCCTTCTGTGTGCATTTTAGCAATGAACCAGGATTTGGGAAATCAATCACTCTTTCACAATAAAGATTTTTAAAAGCTTCAGACTGAAAATCTAAAGAAATAAAATAACTCATTCCATATACATTAAAATTATATAATTTCAGATTTTTTTTATAATGTGAAGGGACTTCAGAAAGTTTGTGGAAAGGTGGAAAGGTAAGTTTATGGGCAGGCATTTGGCACAGCAGTTTAAGTTGCTGCTTGGGATGCCCACATCCTTTGTGCCTGGTTTGAGTTCCAGCTACTCTGCTTGTTATCCAGTGTCCTGCTGATGCCTGCCCTAGGAGGCAACAGGGGATGGCTCATCTACTTGGTTCTTGCTACACACGTGGGAGGCCTGGCTTGACTTCTGGGCTGCTAGGTTTGGTATGGTCCAACCCTCAACCCTGGCTGTTAGGAGCATTTGGAGAGTGAACTAGTGGATGGATGTCTCCATCTGTCTGTCTCTCTTTTGCTCTTTGTATGGGTCTCTGGTTTTCAAATAAACAGTGAAGGGGCCAACAATGTGGTACAGTTAGTTGTTTGCTTGTGGGTGCCAGCATCCCATATTGGAGTACTGGTTGAAGTCCAGGTTGCTCTGCTTCTGATCCAGCTTCCTGTTTTGTCATTCTGCCTTTCAAATAAAATAAATAAATTTAAATCCATGCATTCAAGGAGTTTTCATGTTCATAGAAAATTAAACTTAATCTTTAGTTTCATTTTCCATGAACTTTTAAAAAAATTTATTTATTTGAAAGGCATAGTTACAGAGAGGGAGAGACAGAGAGAGGTTTTCCATATTCTGGTTCACTCTCCAGATGGCCGCAGTGGCCAGAGTTGAGACAACCGAGAGCTGGGAGCTTCATTCAGTCTCTTATGTGGGTGGCAGAGGCCCAAGCACTTGGTCTATCCTGTGCTGTTTTTCCCAGACCGTGAGGAGGGAGCTGAGTTGGAAGTGGAGTAGCCGAGACACGAATGCACCCATATAGAATGCCAGCATCCAAGATGGTGGCTTTCTGTGCTACACCAGAAGGCTGGCTCCTCCATGACCTTTTTTTTTTTTTTTTTTTTTTTTTTTTAAAGATTTATTTGAAAGAGTTAGGGAGTGGGGGAAAGAAATTTCAGTCTTCCATCTGCTGGTTCACTGCCCAGATGGCTGCAATGACCAAGGGTAGGCCAGGTGAAGCCAGGAGTTAGGAGCTTCAACCAGGTTTCCTATGTGGGTAGCAGGAATCCAAACACTTGGGTAATTTTTCTGCTGCTTTCCCCAGACATATTAGCAGGAAGCTGGAGCAGAAGTGGAGCAGCTGGGACACAAACCAGTGCCCATATGGAATGCCAGCATTTCAGGCAGCAGCTTTACCCACTATGCCACAGTGCTGGCCCCACCATGAACTTTTTGAAGTACTCTTGTATGTAATTCTTAGAAAATTAGAAATTATAAATACCTTCTAACTTGGGTTTTACTTCTTAATATTTTGTAGACATCTCTCACATCTTATTTTCTATATAATACTTACTGGCAAAATGTAATACTTTGTTTAAAATGTACGTTAGTTGGCTAACTCCTTTAGGTCATTATTCAGTTTTGGCTACTTTACATAGAACTGTGGTGGCTGTTCTCATGGATTGCATACTTTCTTTCTTACTAGAATAAGTTTCCTGAAGTGATACTGTCGAGTGGCAAGGTCCATGCGTTTAAAATTTCCTCCTTGTCACCACACTGTCCTTCAGAAAGGGATGACAGATTTGTTGTTACACCCAAGATGGGTGAGAACAGTGTGCTGTTGGTGGGACCTCAGGAAGTGCGTGAAGCCACAGCAGTGAATTATGTATTAGAGTTTTACATATATTAAAGGGCATGTCAGGTACACGCTCAAGGGAAATGTTTCTGTTTGCGAATTGGGCTGTGTGGTACTAATTTTCAAAGCAGTGCTCTCCCACCAGTGTTTACCCTGTGATGCTGAGTATGCAGTGGTGTTTTGCGGGTCACGGAATTTGGTCTCAGAGTATGATCCTGTCTTGTCTTAGATGAGTGACCGAGGAGGTGGCGTTCCTTTGAGGAAAATTGACAGACTCTTCAACTACATGTATTCAACTGCACCCCGACCTCGCGTAGAGACTTCCCGCGCAGTGCCCCTGGTATGTGACCAAGAGAACGAAGTGTGCTTTTGTGAGTTGCCTTTGTGTAGGATGCTTCAACAGGAAGAGGGGGCACCATGGGAAACAGTTCCCTCTGCATTTCAGCAGCCTTGGGAGTACTTCTTTTTCATGAAATGGGCACAAGACGGAGATTGCGGTTTCAGAGTTCTTGTTGCCAGCTTGATAGGGAGCATGGTTTTCCCTACGCTGTGATAGAATAATTCTGTTGTGAAAGAAAATTGGTTTTACTGGTATTTGGTCAATACTTTTTTTTTTTTTTTTGACAGGCAGAATGGACAGTGAGAGAGAGACAGAAAGGTCTTCCTTTGCTGTTGGTTCACCCTCCAATGGCTGCTGCGGCTAGCGCGGTGTGGCCGGCACACCGCGCCTATCCAAAGGCAGGAGCCAGGTGCTTATCCTGGCTTCCCATGGGGTGTAGGGCCCAAGCACTTGGGCCATCCTCCACTGCACTCCCGGGCCACAGCAGAGAGCTGGCCTGGAAGAGGGGCAACTGGGACAGAATCTGGTGCCCCGACCGGGACTAGAACCCGGTGTGCAGGCGCCGCAAGGCAGAGGATTAGCCTACTGAGCCACAGCGCTGGCCCTATTTTTTTTTTTTTTTTCTAAGATTTATTTATTTGAAAGGCAGAGTTGACAGATCTTCCATCTGCTGGTTCACTCCCTAAATGGCTGCAACAGCCAGAGCTAGGCCTGTCCAAAGCCAGGAAGCAGGAGCTTTTTCCAGGTCTCCTACTTGGATGCAGAGGCCAGAGACTTGGGCTATCTTCTGCTGCTTTCCCAGGTGCACTAGCAGGGAGCTGGATTGCAAGTAGGGCAGCCGGGACATGAACCAATGCCCATATGGGATGCTGGTGCTGCAGATAACGGATTTACCCACTATGCTGCAGCACTGGCCCCAGGTCAACACTGAATTCATCTTGTATAGACATTTTTCCTCAGGTATTTGTAATTAGGTCTCATGTTGTATTATCAGAAATGAGATTTAAATTCAAATCCATTTTATCACTAGCCTGAAGCAAGCTCAAATTATAATTGCTGCCTTTATTGATCTTAATGTCACCTGTTTTCAGATTTAAAATAGTCAACTTTTTTTTTTTAAAGATTTATTTATTTATTTGAAAGAGTTACACAGAGAGGAGAGGCAGAGAGAGAGGTCTTCCATCCACTGGTTCACTGCCCAGTTGGCTGCAACAGGTTGGAGCTGCACCAATTCGAAACCAGGAGCTTCATTTGGGTCTCCTGCATCGGTACAAGGACCTAAGGACTTGGGCCATCTTCTACTGCTTTCCCAGGCCACAGCAGAGAGCTGGATTGAGGTGGAGCAGCCGGGACTTGAACTGGCGCCCATATGGGATGCTGGCACTGCAGGTGGTGGTAAGCCACAGTGCCAGCCCCACAGTCAACTTTGAGTTGACTATGTCCCTGTTCTTACCACCCGAACCTCACATTTTAAAATGACCAGAGGGAATTAGCTGGTGTGATATTCACCCAAGCTTCAGCGGAATCATTATTAGTACTCACTAGATCTCTTGGATTCAGGCCCTGATAGCCTTGGGGTAACCAGTGACATTTGTTTTAATTAGAAAAGTCCTTTATTTTGTGGCTTTCTGATTAGAATTTTTTCTCCCTGAACAGGCTGGTTTTGGTTATGGATTGCCCATATCCCGTCTTTATGCCCAGTACTTCCAGGGAGACCTAAAGCTGTATTCCTTGGAGGGTTATGGGACAGATGCAGTGATCTACATTAAGGTAATAACTGTGGGCTTTTTGATGTGGTGATATTCCTTTTGATGACAAGAAATGTTGCCAATATTTTATTGTTAAATTTCACTCTACCCCTCTATTATATGTGCAGAAACTTTAGTTTTGGTTTTGTTTACATGGACAGATAATCCTCTCAACTATGGGAAAAGAAAATTCTTATCTGTGATAATCAAGATTACTGGTGCAAAATTTAGTGACTTCAGTTTCTTGTTCCAGCCATTAGATGGCACCCATTTCATAGGAAATGCTGAAAACTGTACTGAAAGAACCATCTGAAAAGAGTAAATTCTTTATAGATAATAGTTCTTTTTTTCCCCTTTAATCATGTCAATTTTGAGGAATTTAAAATGGCAACATCAAGGCAGTACTTTTATCACCATATATAACATTTTGATCTAGCCTTTAGTTCAAGAAATTCTGGAGTATTTAAAGAGTACATATAGAGACGGAATGTTTTTAGTTCCATTTTGAAAAAAGCAAGAAGTCTTACAGAATCATTAATTACCAGGATGGAATTTGTTTTTTTTTTCCCATATACTGAGTACTGCCTATGGCCTGAGGTTCGACCTACTCACAAGTACGAGCTTGGAAGATAAAGAAAAATATAGGGTATCTCAGGTTGCAGTGATTTAAAGGAGGCTGCAATAAAACTGAATAGTGGTAGTGATGTATCAAACATGAAGTTACGTTAAGAATCACGTGACAGAAATTCACAGGTGCTGGGCCTGAAGGAGAATACCCAGGTCAACCCCAGAGCCAGGAAGCCAAGATGCCTTAGACAGTTTTATATTTATTAATAATGTTATGATGTTTTAAAACAACTTCAATGACAATACTAAAAAAAAAAAAAACCAGTATTTTTTTAATAAGTAATTAAAACATTTCACTGAATCTATGTATATCTATATTGAGGTACACATATCAGTATTTTATACTTTTTTAAAATGCTTTTATGCTTACCTGACTTCTGACTTGTTCAACTAGCCAATCTTTGGTCTGGGTCATGTTTTGTAAGAGGTATCCACTGTGAAATTTTAGGCCTGGAGTTTCCAAGCTGGCTTGGGAATTAGTGCAGACAGAAAACTCAGTTTTCATGTACATTTTCCAGTGCCATGTATTTGGCAGGTGTCTCACATATGCAGTATTTAGAAATGTGAAGTAACCTTTTCATTGTATCTTTTCTCAAATTCTAGAAAATGTCAGATTTAGAGGCTCTGCTTTTTGTTTCATTTTTCAGGCTCTGTCCACAGAATCCATAGAAAGATTGCCTGTGTATAACAAGGCTGCCTGGAAGCATTACAACACCAACCACGAAGCCGACGACTGGTGTGTCCCCAGCCGAGAGCCAAAGGACATGACAACATTCCGCAGTGCCTAGATGAGCTGGGGACAAACTGGCTTTTGTGTTAAATTTGGAAGGGATGGCATTCAGAACTACATCATACCAAGTACTTCACATGTTGTTCTTGCAGTTGACTCTTTGGGTAGGACAAATGGAAGCTGAGTTCCACTTGTGCCTGGTAAACCTCCTAAAGGATGAATCTGTACCTGCTTACACTTTCACAGTCAATGGGGCATAATTTTAAACACCTGTAGTTTTGGTCAAGTTTTTCTTTCCATAGACTTCAGAAGTGTGCATGTCTGGGTTTCTATAGGAAGCTGTGTGGTTTTTTTAAAATACTTTTAATTTATGTCTGCTAGAAGCATTTTATAAATACTGAGTGTAGTTGGTTAACCATCTTTCTGTGATTTGGAGGTATTCCTGCTATCCTTTATTGAGTAGTGACAACTGAAATACGATGGTGACCAACTACAAATATACCATGTAAACCTAGGACCAGCTACCTTTCACTGCCTACATGCATTGCTTAGCTCTGAAATTAATTTATAATCTTAAATTTTTGTAAAAGATTGTGATGACTAGTTCCCTGTGGATTTAAGCCAAGATCATGGGCAATCTTTTTCAATGTGCTGGTGATCAATGCAAGGGAAAAATTTTATATTAAACATGAACTGGCAGTTGCTAAAATTATAGAGAAGAAATTGAAGACAGAGCAGTGAATCCTTGAAACTGACCTAATCAGTTGACTGTTGGTGATTGCCTGGGCAGCTTTTAAGAAGTTTTACCAGGTCCTGCTGCAGACTTGCTGGATCAGAATCTTGTGGGCAGGATCCCAGAGATCTGTTTTTAAAACACTTCCTAGGTGAGTCAGATGCTAGTTTAGTTATGATACTACCTCTGTAGAGTGAATAGTGATGACAGTGTAGTTTCCAAAGTAACAGCGATCTTTATGGTGGTTTCCGCCTATTTCAGAGTCAGATTTCTGGACTCCAGGAGAGAGAAACTGAGTCTAGGCCTGGTGCAACTAGAAGAGTGATTAGAGACAGATAACCAGAGTCAGAATCATAAATGCATTAAGTATTGACAAAGAATGCCTATTTTCTAAAATAGATTTTTTTTCTTTAACCAGGGAAAAGTCAACCTAGATTTATGACAATCCTTTGCATCCATGTGGTAATTTGTAGTTTACAAATAATTTGATATATCATAGTCGCTCTGTTGGTCTTCAAGGCAGCTAGCAGGTGCACCACCCTCATTTTCACACAGAGCCTGGCCCAAAGTTGCATAGGATTAGAGTGAGAGCCGGAAGTAGGAGACTGTGTTGTTAGTTGTACCTTATCTTTTTTTAAGGTGATAGATACCTTGAAAATAAATTTTAAAGCAAAATCTAAACATTTAAAGAACAACACGCCACTTAAATGGGGAGAACTGTATTTATCTGGAAAAATGACACTGAGTTGAAACACTTTCTTTTGATCACACAAGGTTAACAATTCTGTATAAACCTGTAGGTTGGAAGGGCTGTTAAAGGGCACACAGTCTACTACCCTCACTGAAGAAATGAGGACCTGCAAACTCAGAGGTGGTATCCTTTTGCCTAGGGCTTCTTATACCAGCGGATCTGAACAAATGTTGGAAACAGGTATCTTACATAAGCTATTGTTTGTTCCTCAATTATGGATTCTTTGAAAAACAATAGAATATACTGATTTATATTAGTTTGACATGTTACAATTTTTTGGCTTTAAATTAAGCTTGTAATGAAATTTTTAGACTCTTTTGAATCAAAATGTTCACTTTTTTTCCTAAATGAGACATTTGTAATAACTTAAACCTGACATTTTTACTTATAAAATATTTCCCCCTCCAAGAAAGTTTTTCCTCTCTTAAGAGCTAAGAAATGATATTTGCAAAGGAAAAGTGAAATTATTTTCCTTTAGTTTTTTTTTTAAAGTATAACAGCTTTATATTTGGTTATTGTGGTAACGGACAGACGATTACATGCAAAGTATTCTGGTATACCTTTTACCAGTTGGTATCAAGCCATCTGAGAGGTTTTTCAAGATTCTTAGCTGTTTTGAGCACCAGGATTAATATGCAGTATGGATATAAAATGTTTCAAAGGACAGAAAAGTGGACACTCACTAATTTTTAGAACCCAAGTGAGTAATGTGCCAACATTTTTAAGAAAGTGATAGAAAAAAATATTCTGTGCTATACTTAAGTACTGGCTGGCTTTTGATGTCTTCATACTTAAAAGTGATCACTTTCTTGCACTGTGAAATTTTTACATGAAGATGTTAAAGGGGACGTCTACCTTCTTATTTTGTAAAATGTTTTCTATAAGGCAATAAACAAAGAGTGGACCAGCTCTCATTTTGAACATAAATTGTCAATTTGTTTTTAAAAATATCATCATGTTCTTAAAATAGAAGTCTCTTCATCACCAAGGCTCAGCATTCTACAAACATTGGAAAGATTGTAACTAGCAGCTTGAGTTTCCAGGAAACTGGAATTGGGGGGCAGAGCTAGGATTCCAACCCAGACTCTTTCAGTATAGGATGCAGCCTTCCAGAGCAGTGTCTTAACCCCCACACCAAATGGCTGTCCAGGAGTTGTCCCTGGAGAGTGTGGAATTACACTATTCTAAGAAATTTTCTAACATTGTTTAAAATGTTATTTGATTGAGAGAAAGTCAATAGAGAGAGCAAACTTCTGATCCATTCTCCAGATGCCTGCAACAACCATGGCTGGGCTGAGGCAGGAGCCAGGCATCAAATCCAGGTCTCCCAGGTGGGTGGCAGGAACCCAATTATTGGAGCCATAACTGTGGTACTGTGATGTGGAACATGAGCATTTTTACTGCTAAGCCAAACACCTGCCTTACAAGTTTTATAATTTTGTTTGAAATGTTGCCAACTGCCAATAATAAATTCCTTCAAGGAACAGTTATGAGACCAAGACAACTTAAAGCTTAAATATAAACTATAATATTCTTGCTATGGTTTTATATTTAGATGTCTAATTATGAGATCCATTATGTAATAGCTAGACTATTGTATGAAAATACTATAGTTATAGCACTGTATAAAGGTAGTCTAGTATGAAATAATTTTTCCCAAAATTTGGACCTTTATATAAGTGAAATAGAATGAGGAATGTGAGAAAAATAATCCATTTGTTTCTCTATAATACAAAAATATCTGATAATATTAAATAATTTTTTCATCTCTTTCAGTGTCTTCCATAGTGTACAGGGTATAGTATGCACTTGTTACATGTATGTTTAGTAAATACATAATAAGATTGTTTTTAAGATTACTTTCACAATGGACACAAAGCAATCAGGCTGGTGTCATGGCTCACTTGGTTAATCCTCTGCCTGCAGTGCCGGTATCCCATATGGGCGCTGGGTTCTAGTCCTGGTTGCTCCTCTTCCAGTCCAGCTCTCTGCTGTGGCCTGGGAGGGCAGTGGAGGATGGCCCAAGTGTTTGGGCCCCTGCACCCGCATGGGAGACCAGGAGGAAGCACCTGGCTTCGGATTGGCACAGTGCTGGCTGTAGTGGCCATTTGGGGAGTGAACCAACGGAAGACCTTTCTCTCTGTCTCTCTCTCACTGTCTAACTCTACCTGTCAAAAAAAGTAATCTAACAAAGAAAACTGTAGATAGTGTCTAACACAAAAAATACTAGCAAAAACCTGTTCAAGCTTTGACTTAAGGAACAAAGGACTAATAAGCCAACACTATAGGGAGTTTGCATTGTACAGCTGGCTAGCCTGCTGCAACGTCAGCTTCCCCTATGGGTGCTAATTCCACTTCCCATCCAGCTCCCTGCTAATGCACCTGGAGAAACAGTAGAAGGTGGCTTGAGTGCTTGGACCCCTGCCACCCCCATGTGAGATCTGGAGGAAGCTCCTGGCTTTGGCCTGACCCACTGACCGCCGTGACCATTTGAGGAGGGAACCAGCAGATGGAAGATACCCGTCTCTCCTGCTCTCTGTAATTCTGCCTTTCAAACAAATAAATGGTTAAAAAAAAGTGCCAACACTCCCATGATAGGTCAGTAAGTAAAGCCAGAGCTGTGTTGGTGAAAGGTGGTGGGGTCTGTTGAACGGAAGAGCTGCTTCCAGAGAAGCTGTAGCCAGGACTAAGGATCAAATGACCATATTTAGATAAAAATCAAGAAGACACAGTGCAAACGGAGATAAAGACTCATGTAAGAATACCAGTAACTTTGTGACAAATTCTGGAAATAGGAAAGAAAAACATCTCTAGGGAAAATAGAGACCCATCTAAGATTAAAAAAATTTTGAAAAGACAGGATTTACAGAAAAAGGGAAAGACAGAGAAAGATCTGCCATCTGCTGGTTCATTCCCCAAATGGCCCGAACTGGACTCATCTGAAGCCAGGAGCTTCATCTTGGTTTCCCACGTGGGTGCAGGGGTCACTTGGGCCACCTTCTGCTGCTTTCCCAGGCCATTAGCAGGGAGCTGGATCTGAAGGGGAATAGCTGGGACTCGAACGAGAGCCCATCTGGCATGCTGGCTTCGAAGGCAGTGGCTTAATCTACTATGCCACGATACTGCCCTCCCCCCCCAACCAGGATTTTAACAGTATAAGTCAACCAGTAGCCACTAAGAAAATGGAGTCAGTGATCACAGCTCCATCTCACCAGAAGCCAAGTGTGAGCAGGTGAATTTTGCCAAAATATCAATAAGCCAATAATTCCTATTTTGTAGAGACTTTGAGAGAACAGAATAGAAGAAACTACCCGCAGCTTTTTTTAAAAGATTTATTTATTTATTTGAAAGTTAGGAGAGGCAGAGAGAGAGGTCTTCCATCCGTTACTTCACTCCCCAATTAGCTGCGATGATCCGGAGCCAGGAGCTTCTTCCAGGTCTCCCATGCGAGTGCAGGGGCCCAAGGACTGGGGCCATCTTCTACTGCTTTCCCAGGCCATAGCAGAGAGCTGGATCGGAAATGGAGCTGTTGGGACTCGAACCAGCGCCCATATGGGATGCCGGCACTGCAGGTGGAAGAAAAATGTAGCAAGGTACTAGTGTGAATGTTCTATAGTTCTAAGTGTTGGGAAGCGCCAAGTCTACTAACAGTTCCTAGGGCAAGAAAGCTGCAGCCCCAGGAGTTCAAATAACCAACAAGAAGCTTCACTGTCAACAGCCTCGTGCATCCATCAGACTTAGAACACTTCCCAGCAGACTTCCGTTTCCAAAACCCGCTCCCTTACCTTTCTCAGGATGTAGATTCAGGTCCACAGAGGCCTTCGGTTCTGTGTCGGCTTCAAGCGAAGTGATCTACAGAAAGGAAGGATAACAATAAACAGTGTCTGCAGCGGTATAGAGGTGGAGTTAACAGACTACCCTTGCCGAAGGGCTCTGTAAACTGACACCATAAAGTATAAACAGGTCACGGCTACACCAACAACTCCAGCAACAAGCAGGTTTTATGAGCAATGCTGATGCTGTGGTTATTTCTAGTGGTTAGAACCCCATGCTATTGGGAAGTGTCTGAGACTGAAAGAAGCCATAGGATCAAAAATAAATGAGAAGATTTTACTCAGTGAGGGAAATGCTTACAGGAAACCATTAAGCACAAGGCAGCGTGTGTTGCACATGGAGAAGAGAAACATCTAGGCAAAAATATTAAGAAGGAAGCCTACCTGAACTGACATCCTCATCCACATTTTCCAGGAAGGTCAGTGAAAACTTTTTATTCTCATCTTATTGAGGGAAACATGCCAGTGTCCCCCAGCAAGGCTCTACACCCAAGGGGACACCTCTCAGAGTCCCTGTACTCACAGGACAGCATGAAGCCCACAAAATGAACACATGTGTAACCTTTAAACACCCAGGGCTGGCTCTGTGACATAGTAGGCTAAGCCTCCGCCGGTAGTGCTGGCATCCCACATGGGTGCGGGTTCAAGTCCCAGCTGCTCCTCTTCTTATCCAGCACTCTGTTATGGCCTGGGAAAGCAGTAGAAGACAGCCCAAGTGCTTGGGCCCCTGGACCCACGTTGGAGACACATAAAAAGCTCCTGGCTCCTGGCTTCGGATTGGCCACTGCCTCCATTTTGGGAGTGAACCAGATGGAATTCTGTCTCTCATTCTCTAACTCTACCGCTTAAATAAATAAAAAAAAATTTTTTAAAAAGATTTATTTATTTATTTGAAAGGGTTACACAGAGAGAGAAGGAGAGAGAGTGAGTGAGTGTGAGTGCTATCTTCCACCCACTGGTTCACTCCCCAGATGGTTGCAATGGTCAAAGCTGTGCTGATCCAAAGCCAGGAGCTTCTTCCAGGTCTCTCACGTGGATGCAGGGGCCCAAGGACTTGGGCCATCTTCTACTGCTTTCCCAGGCCATAGCAGAGAGCTGGATTGGAGGTGGAGCAGCCAGGACTCGGACTGGCACCCATTTGGGATGCTGGCACTGCAGGCAGAGGCTTTACCTGCTACACCACAGTGCTGACCCCTTAAATAAATAAAAATCTAAACAAACAAACACCCAGGGTCAACTGTGAAGGCCACTTTGGCCAATGGAACCGAGACACAGGGTCAATGTTTTTAGATTTCACTGAGTATGTGAGTATAAAGGCACTCAAACCAAATACACCTGAATGCATTTTTCTATAGAAGAGTTCATAGCAAAAAATTCTGACTCCAGGATGTGACTTCAGAAGGAAATCCAGTGTCGAGAGGGAAGAGGTCCGAGATGGCTGAATAGGGAAAAGACACTGATTCTGACCATGGGAAGAAACCAGAACAGGGGAGGAACGGCATTCCTAGGCACAGGTGGAGAGAAGTTTTCAGTGGAAATTCTACAGAAAGTAGACACCATGGAGCACCAAAGACTATACACACAGCAGCTGGCAAGGTGCCACCAGCAACTCCTGCAGCTGGTGGCTGTAGGGACACCATCTTCTCAGAGTGAGGTGAGAGGAGCTTGCATCAGCCCACCTACCACTGGCCATCTTATCTGAGGGAGACATCCACAGTCTCCACTGGCTTCAAGCCCAGCCTGGAGAGTTGTTGGGGCAGGGTGCTGAGTAAGCACTATGAAGGGAGAGCAGGCTGGTCTCCCTATCTCTCTCCCATCACAGCACCAAACTCAGCTTGCCAAGACAGAGTGTTGACTGACCTGTTGGCCAGGTGGCTGGCTCTGGGGATGGTGTGGCGCTCTCTCTGGATGCAGAGGCTTGCAGAGCAGAGAGTAGACCCCTTGTACCCTGTGACGGAATCCTGTGACAGGCCAGGAAACAGAGAAGGGCGCGGGATGTGGCTTGGTCTTTGGGCAGTACTAGGTCCAACTCCAGAAGTTCAGAACTCCCTGAGGAATGGGGAGGGCTCTGCTCACACATCAAAATGCTGTTAC